CCATCGGCAGATAGTCGTTACTAATTATCTCGAGAGCAATTAACTATCTAGGATTTAGTGTCGCGATCCGGCAAACGTAAGTGCCGTCAGCGGAAAAGCTTAAACGGAAAAAAGGTCACTAATTGTCAGTCTGGTTAAACTTTTAGTAAGAGGCGCTACGCTCCGCTTGAATAAAGTTAAATCCTTACGAATCACGTGTCATTCCGCTCTCCCGTGACATTTGGCTCGACAATGCAATGATGATAAGTATGAAGAAAGATTCAGAAATTGGATCTATCAATGAAAGTAGTGAATACACACCTGATGATGGTTTGAGTGATGCAATGGATGATGCGTTAACAATGGAGAATCTGTGTTAGAGCAAATGAAAAGTTCATTTTTAGAACTGTAAAATTTGTTTATTTATATGAATAAATTGTGCAATAATATTTGCTTGTACTTTTGAACCAGCTTTCCAGTTAGGAGAGTTAAGTACAAAATGACTGAAGTTATCTTCATCTAAATTAGGATTACTTGTACAACAATTTGGAAATTTCATGTAATGAGAACAGTCTTGTCTGAATATTAATATAGTAATAGGAATTTTTTTGGAAACATGCCATTTAGACTAAGGAAACAGTTAAAGAATCACTTTCTACTTGGATTTGTACCTTTTGGGTTAATGTTTATGATTTTTTGGGCTGCTTCACAATGAAATCGAATCACTTGGGCTACGACCGGCTTTCGGCTAATATATTACAAAGAAACATTGAAAACGGATAAAAGGAGTCGAAACCAAAATGGAATTTGATTTCATGGCATTAGGAACGCCAAAAACTAATAACAAAAAAAAAAGTCGACGACGTTACTATACTCATTATCCAACGTTCATAAAAATCCTGAGGGTATGTAAACGGCGATTTTGTAAAACGGCGATTGATCATGTGATCGCTGCGGTACTGATTTCGACTGCGTTACCGAAATCTAAGTCTGTCTGAAACGATTAATTTACATTTATATTTATATTGGTTTATTTATAAGAACAAGAGTTTAGAAATATTTATTATTTCCAAGTCTTCAAGACCAGATGCAAAAAATATGGTCGTCCTCGGTGTATTTTTATACATGTTTGAACCAATTTCTACACTCCACAGCTAATTAATATTCAATAAAAATATAAATGTTTCAGACTTATATTTCGGTAACGCAGTCGAAATCAGTACCGCAGCGATCACATGATCAATCGCCGTTTACAGGTATATATTATTTTTCAAATAATAATTATGACTCATGTTTTTATTATTTTAGAATTAGCAGGTCATGCGTACTTTTTATTATTCCAATATTAACAACGAAGGCCAACATTATTCAGAAGTAACAGACTTCGAGTGTCGCGTGGGACTAAGGTGAGCCATAGTGCTCGTATTCCTTCTTTTTACTTGATAAATTAACAATTAAAATTTTATCAGCAATACATCCTTTATATCATTTTGTCATTGTTCTTGTTTTCGAAGTTAACAAAATGCTAATTGAGAATTGCGAGAATTAATAACATTATTCAGCTTAAATTACCGACATCAAGCAGAGTATATATAAACGTCGAAGAAGAATTCTTGACATTTTCTTGAATGTTATTTAAGTAAAGAAGTCATAAAGGTAAGTAACTTATTTATAGTTTTTGGAAAAAGCAATATTATTAGTGCTAAACTTGGTTCTTATTAGGTGGAGCATCGACTCTTCAAGCGTAATAATAGAGTCCCTCAGGGATCGCCGCTATCTCCACTACTAGCAAAGTATGTAAATTGGTATAACTTAAATTCAGTGTTGACGTTCAAAGCTAAGTAATCCACTTTTTCCCCAGCCTTGTCCTTGACAAATTTGTGGAATTGCATCTTCAATTAGTTGTCAGAAAATGATTTTGGTATACGACGAATTTAATAATAGTATTTAAATAGCAATTTACGATTAATATTATTAAATGTATTACACAAACATGTAAATATCTGACATAAATTTAGTGACGTAAATCAATATTTTAGCAGTAGCTATTTAGATATATAAACAACCAAAATTCGAATAGTTTCTGCACACATTTCCACTATAGGATTTGGTCGACGGAATAATGAAATAACTCTTATGGTGATGGAATAATAAACTTACGATTGGAAATATTCAACTGATCTCTAATGGTAGAAATTCAGTCTGGTAATCTCTAGCTTTCGGGCATATGCTGAGTTTACAGCGTCGAGAGCTCAATCAGTTAACAACGTTCTAATAATACGATTACACCTATTAACAACTACAACAATGTAAGTATTGATCCTCATTACCTATATATTTTATTTATATTAATGCTAACATTTACATTAGTTATTATTACGCTATGAGGATTATTTCCTCTTTGTCACTGGGTAACTTTGGTTTGACATTGTTCAACGTGTGGTATAATAATAAATTTTCTAATATTACTGAAAACCTAAATAAACATGTTGTACTATTCGGTGCAGTATAACCGTTGCGAAAAACAAAATTTGTAAAAGTTTGATAGTAGCAAATTTGGGGTAATTTTCTATCTGTTAAAATTGTAGAAATATTTCAGTATTCGTTTTCTCAATAACGAATGAATGGATTTTGATAATTATAACTTTATTAATTGATCATAATGCGACAAACTGTTTGATAGTTTTCTTATTTCGATCCACACACTGTATATTAAATTATAAAAGTTATTAAAATTTTCTTCAGTTCTTAAAGGCAAAGTTAGTAGTACCAGCAACTCAAACAACTGCACTTGAATTTAAATAACTTGACAACAAAAGTGTATTACATTATATTCTTTTCAAAATTCAGACACTTGCTTATAAACATTTGGAAAATAAAATTTTTTGTGTAGTTATTATGCCTGTTTTGTCTTATATAAAAAGAATTCTCCGCCATTACTTTTGACCAGGACTGTAGAAAGTGCGAAGAATTATGGAATCAGGTTAGTGTAGTAACACAGATATGTTTTGACTAATAAAAGTTTTATTTGTATAATAATTATAATGATAATGATAATGATAGGACACGAAGACCTTGGCTGTCGGATCGCTAACAAAAAAACCTGGACTATGCAAGTAATAGACCCGAAAGTTTAGGTAGGCTTTATCTGTCATGAATTCATTATTTAGCGTATTAATATCAATTCCATAAATTTATCAGCTTTCGTCTGGTGCAAATTGATTGTCAACGCGAGGACTTTGGAAATAAAAATTTTCCCGCATCCTATACATAACATTGATTGCAGTATATGAAAATGTAAAGTCACGTTATTGCTATATTAAAAGCATGAGCACTTTTGTTATCGATGTCATCACTACCATAGAGATCAGTTATTGTCTGATGCTATATTGTCTTATTTACCAGTTAGTCTGTTGTGGCTAACGACTATCTACGACGTAGGTCACGCCGATATCATATTGCATGAGTGCTGTCAATAGGTCAGTTTAATACATGTTACACTGATACTTTGTTTTTATTCACGGAAACAATTATTACAGTCACGATATGATGTAATGATGTGTTAAACAAAATTTATACTTATAAGGTAGCAATTGACAATGTCAAGCAATATCAATGTGTCATTCGCTCGCATCTAACATGCATGCGAACAAACAAGTGTACATACATACAGATATATATATGTTGTGTCTGAGTTTGGGACCTGTCTCAGTTCGGAACCCAGTCACTCAGTCCAGGACTCAGTTGTCTCAGTCCAGAACCCAGACACTCAGTCCAGAACCCAGTCGTCTCAGTCCAGAACTGAGACAGGTCCCCAACTGAGGTACAATATATATATCTCTCTCTCTAGACGCTACTCTCTATTTATTGCACATCGGTCGCTTCAATAACACCCTCTCTCCCTCAAAACGAACGTTATCTACACAACGCAACACACCTTTGTTGTTACTCCTCCATATTACGCACACACGAAACTACAATTGTGCGTCCGTCTTCCCCTACAACGAATCGAACTATTTATTTCCTTCCCAACGTTTAGTAGAATAATATAGGAGATGCAGGAGGAGCAACAGTGCGCTCGGAGACAAACAGCAAACTCTAACGGTTGCGTGAAGAGCTGCTCAAGCATTTGATAAGTCACTTATGCACTTATTGGATGACTTTGAGCCGATTTTTTCCATGGTGAAGCTTAACAAGAACGTAGACGTTTGTGAAGATAAAGACAATTATGGGATACTGTTTGACGCAACCAAGTAAGTTGACTATATACTTTTTCTCCTCTCTCGCGAATGGATATTTAATACAAACGGTTTTACCAAATGCTACTTTATAGGGATGTTGAGATCTTTGATGGAAGCTACGACAGCTAATACCATTGAGTTGACTAGCGGTAAGAGAATTAATAATTAGATTATAAAATGTGCTCACCCATATTTACTTAAATATCTCTTCCAGTAAACGTATGTTGTTTGCTCTTAATTGGAAATAGCACTCAATCACTCGCAATATGAGATAGCAGGACTCTTCAGAAGCTCACATATATATTATGAACTCCGAGTTTTCGGAATTACGCGAATCGTTAATGGAAGTGTACATATTGTACAAGTCGTACATGCAGTCGAAAAGATGATAAGCGATATGTTACAGAATACATTGTGTAACACTTGTCTAGGGAAGGTATTGTATGTCAGACATGTCATGTCAAAGTCGACTGGTTCAAGTTGTCAAAATTACCAAGTTTCTTATGGTCGTCATCCGGTCATTGTATTAGATGAGTTATTGAAGCCGAATTCATCCGAGGTCATAAAGTTGCCTGCACAACCAACGGGTTTATTGCGCATTGTTTGTCCAAAATTTGCCAAGAGATTAATAAAGCCGGCAGTCCTACAGTGGATAAGGTACTGTTCAGACAAATTCGACTCTGCCGAGATTGACAAAGCTAATCTATAAAATGCAATTTTCTTACCTCCCATGACGCATCGCAGGTTGCCCTCAAGATTCTCTTTCAACAACGATTTTTACTCTTTCGCAAGAGTTTCCGAGAAGGGCTCTGTCCAGATATCAAGCTTTTGACAAAAAGTATTTGAAGGACGTTAGTTGGCTTTTGATGGTTTGGGGTATGATACAGACGATGCTTCACAGGCTGGAAACAAACATGAAGAAGAGATGGATAACAAAATCGTTAAATTTACATTTGTTACTTTTTATTGTTTAAATTCACAGATAATTAGATATAAAGTCGAGTCGATGCTTACTTTTGCATAGTACGATTCGTTTATCTTTCCACTTAATCGATTAATTCGATTAATTGAAGATTTCGCCATTGCTGGGTTCACGCCTATTGATATCAATATTAGTACGGTATAGTATAACAAATACTCAGTGAAATATTCACCTAGCTTATTTCTTCTTTGTGTTGCAGGTGTGTGAATACATGCATATAGAAATATTTAGAAGGATTGTGGGAAAGTATTTTCGGGAGTGCTTATTTTCGAAACTATACTCAATATAATGATCTAATATGGCGGTTTTTCCCAGAACCAAGTCAGTTATAACCAGAGCGACTTGTAGTAGTCGTACAATATTTAGCTCTTAGATATTTGGGTAAATTAGGCACCTACTACAGGTAGCTAGATTTAGGAAAAACTTGCACCTCAAAAGATATAAGAAGTGCGACTTTCCAATAGAAATAGTAAGGTTATGTTCGGAGATGTATTATAAACGAGTAATCTTTATACTTTGAAATAATTATTAAGAATTCAAATTACGAAATAGCTAGAAACCGATAATCCCATATCGTTAGTATTTGCCTCTTATCCCGCTTATATCACTAACTGTTATTATATTTAACTGAGCGAGTAGGAGTTGCCACCCCACCACATCTCCGTGGAAAGGCAGTTAATATTAAATCCCAAGTGTCGATAGTTATCTGCTCTCCCATGACCATCGGCACAACATAGCGCACGTTATAGGTTAAGTAGTAGAATTCTAAACTCACTTAGAGCTTGTTTGCATGCTACCGAAAATGGATAAATAGAATTTTACGACATGAACACTTAAAATAATTTACTTAACAGCTTCTTATAAATTATATTCATATGGCAAATTAAAATATCGGAATTTTTTGTTACACACTGAGCAGTATGAGCAGTAAAAGTACGTTTTAAATATTGGAAAGAATTTTGATAGGAAAAACATTTACAGTGCGTGCATAAGTCTCTAACTCAAATACCATAAAAAACACGTCGCATGGCGTGATAAGACTGTATTTCCGTACGCAGGTACGTCCATGTCAATACATCCGCTATCGCTCGTAAATAATAATAAACCATTACTACTTACAAATATATTTCAGTACTTTTGTCTTGATTATTGTAAAAATTTAATGTAGGTAATCAATTTTTGTTGCTGCTGCTGCTGTCAAAAATGTAAAATTTATCAAAGACTTGTCCTCTTGACAGCAGCGCGCTCTATTCAAGAAGACATTAGAGACCATAGTGAACGTCACTTGAAGTCTTTTCATTGTAAGTTTTACCAGATTGTCATCGTACTTATTCGATTCTATAGGGATTATTGAATGTCGCTCGTTTATTTTACTACAGGATAGCTATCCTAAAATCTAACTGGTCAATGTATATACACTGCTGCAAAGTCCGGTGCTCCGTCGCCTGACTTCATCAATGTGGACTATTTGTCAAAGCAGACTCTATTTCTATAATACATAAATAAAATGGTTCCAAAAAGGCTTCGTTATAAAGCCGTGTTCGTTAAACCGGGACTTTACTGTGTATTGATTTACATCACCATCGTAGCAAATACGTGGCGCCGTGGGATGGGTTGGTCGTCCAGAGCTCATTCTATATTATAGGTAAAAAGTTTTATACAGACTCGTGCTAATGCTTATGATAAAGTTTCACCATCAAGGATGCGATTCTAAACAGGTAAGGTAATATCTTCTCGGATGGTAAACTTTTGATAGACTAATTAGCATTAGACGATTGTGCGCACGTTCCCTGAACCAACATTCAATCCTTCGATTCACCAGTTAGTTAGGTCAATTATCTCTTAGTCGAATATCTTCTCTCTGCATACGACAGACGTGTCATTCAGGAAGTCCGTACTCTACATTTATTCGATGGCTCTAAAAAAAGAGAGCTTTAGTAGAATTTGACTCCTGATTTTTATACCACCATGTATTTTCGCAATATCGCGCTGACAGCTAACTTCACCAGCCAGTAGTGAAAGAATGTATTTTAAACTTTAAATCCACTCCCTTAATATCACTCTAAAATCTAAGCACCCCAGCTCAAAATACAGTGGCTTACTAATAGATCCATCCTTCCTAATATTATATAGCTATCATTTCCACAAACAGATGATATAATACTAGATTCACTTTATAAATTATAGGTTTTAATAACAAAATTCTGAACTTACCCGGCTGCACGTTAAAAAGCATTGATTACAATTGGAGCCATTGCACGCATATCGTATCAGTAGTCTACTTTCGTGCTGTTAGCTTCGTATTTATGCGTATGCTCTTAAACAACGAATCCTTAGTTGCCATGTTTAACAAATCCATAAAAGCATGTCAAGTTACAGTAAACATCATAACCTTTTGTTCACCTTTGCTGCGTGGATAGGGTAAGAATTTCTTCACCAGCTTCATCCCAATACTTCCTGGATCACGAGTATGTCCTTTCGCCTTATAGTCATCACTTTCAAGAATACAAAAAATTATACTTTATTGGCACACATGTGAAACGTTTAAGAGGTATACAATATGCTAACATTCGCAAGGTTAAAGCTTTTAGTCACGTGTTGGCCGTAGGCTATTTAAACCAAAAGACAAAATTTACGAGAGAAATTTAGAAGACTGATAATAATCTATATATGAAGAACTAGAATGAAAAATGCCGGTTTTCTTAAGAAGTCTAAGCACATTTCATTATTCAACAGATATTGGGTATCGATTAAAAGCGGTTTGCCGTCGTATATTAATTTAACCTGAATCCTAAAACGCAAAATTTACACACATTCCTGTCTTTAACCCACATACGTTTGTATCTAGACACTGTAAATATCGAATATCGTGAAGCAAATCAACTCCTCGATTAGTATTATTGTTTTATGGAGCAGTACGATCCTTTTTCTGACCCCATGCTTTCATATTTTCCCAATTGGCACCATAATCTAAGAACTCATTGACTGCTGCTTCGACAATAGCATCATAGTGTTCCCCAGTCACCTGCATTGCTGCCGTAAAGGGAAATTTCATTGCACACCAGACGTCCCGAAAGTTTCGTATTGCCTATATATTATAGCATTAATTTAATGTAAAGAGCTACAGCCAAAGATTTAAACCAATTGCATACAAAGGTTGACAACTCACCATTTCGGCGTATTTATCTCCCTTTGGCCCTACGGGAACGAATCTTTCCTCGTGACCAATGTTTGTAAACAAACCAGACTGTTCAAGGAAACCTTGGATTTCAAAGCCAGGTGACGGAGTAAGGCCTTTCGATCCAAGTAAACTAGCCACTTAAAGGAAAAATCATTAACTGAGTAAAACTATTTGGCATGACATTATGTTACATCCTATGCGCAGCATGCATCCATCAATGGCTTGATCTCCTCCATCCTCAACTTACATGCATTATTCATACGTTGAACATTCTCACATTTAACTCGACTTTTTACTAATCCATCCCACTCCGCCAACTCTACCCATCCGCCTGGCTTGATAACTCTCGCGTACTCAGGAATAGCAAGCTCAGTCCATTGTTCTCTTGTATATACGGAGACAAGGGCTCTGGAAAATACGAAATCGAACGTGTTGCTATTAAAAGGAAGTCCATCAAGGACATTATATTCTACGAACTCGACGTTACTAGGCTTTTCGTTTGTAAGGACCACAGGTGCAATGTCTACGCCGACAAAATAAGAGTTGGGGTATTCTTTGGCTAGTTCTAAAGTCCAAATGCCTGAGCCGCAACTGTAAAGGAAAGTAATAGTAATTGGATGAACTATAAGTATTTTATGTGTGTAGTTCCCATTCCATTAAACTCTTTATCCTCTTTCGACTAACCAGACGTCAAGTACCCTTCCCCCACGCCTTAACAATTGGTCGACAGGTGCTGAAAAATTCCCGTTGAATGCATGTTTCAGGATATAGTGTTGCATATCCAATCTATCTTCTTCTCCAACATCGTTTGGCAAAACATAGTTTGAATCTAATAATTGAAATCGTCGTCCATCTATGACTTTGAAATTGCTTGATATTAGTTCGTCTTTTTTTCGTCGTATAAGAGAACAACAGCCACCCATCGTTAATGAGAGAATCAAGGTTTTAGATGTTGTAATATATCGTAATACTATTTGTAGTACAAGTAGCACAAATAGATCGGCAATTACAGTGAATATCTCGACTATTATTTGTACGTTTCTTCAATTGTTTATATTAGGTTATAGTGTGGCTGAAATGGAAAAAAAAAAACAGTGGTCAAAAAAATTTTCATCGTTACATGTTTGTTTTACCACCGATCATTTCAGGGGTTTCGTAATCCCAAACATGGAGAAAGCGAATTCGAGGCTTTCCAGAGTATCGGAGTGATAAATGTCTTATTTCACGGTTCAAATCCTGGGTCTATCCGACCAAATCCCCGTTGTAGAATTGGTGCAGTCTCTGTGTTGGCCGTTCTGATGCTTTAGGCTATTTAAACCGAAAGACAAAATTCATGAGAGAAACTTTAGAAGACTGATAATAATTTCTGCATGAAGAAGCTTACAGCGGACGCAAAAGATATTGGAAACGCTCTGGATAAAGTCTCGTGATGGCAGTACCAAACAACTAGAATGCTTTTCTTAAGAAGTCTCAAGCAGCAATAAAGCACATTTCATTATTCAACAGATATTGGGTATCGATTAAAAGCGGTCATCGTATATTAATTGACGCAAAATTTACACACATCTAAACACTGTAAATATTAAATATCGTGAACAAATCAAAGCTGGATTAGTGAAATTTACAATTACTAACCGTATCTAAGTGATTATCGTTTTGTGGAGCCGTCTAAGCAGTACGATTCTTTTTCTGACCCCATACTCTCATATGTTCCCAAATGGCACCATAATCTATTAACTCCTTGACTGCTGCTTCGACAATAGCATCATAGTGTTCCCCAGTCACCTGCATTGATACTGTAAAGGGATATTTCATTGCACGCCAGACGTCCCGAAAATCTCGTATTCCCTTCATAGTGTAAAACATGTAAAGAGCTACAGCCAAAGATTTAAACCAGTAACATACAAAGGTTGACAACTCACCATTTCAGCGTATCTTTCTCCCTTTGGCCCTAAGGGAATGGGTCTTTCTTTGTGACCAATGTTTGTAAACGAACCAGACTGTTCAAGGAAGCCTTGGATTTCAAAGCCAGGTGACACAATAAGGCCGCCTTTCGATTCAAATAAACCAGGCACTTGAAGAAAATCAATAATTGAGTAAAACTATTTGGCGTGATATAACATTACATATGCGCATCCATCAATGGCTTGGTTCATCTCAATCTCTTTCCATCCTACTTACATGCATTATTCATATGCTGAATATTCTCGCATTTGCCTTGACCTCTTATCATTCCATCCCACTCCAACAACTCTACCCATCCGCCTGGCTTGGTAACCCTCGCGTACTCAGGAATGGCAAGCTCAGTCCATTGTTCTCTTGTATATACGGAGACAAGAGCTCTGGCAAATACGAAATCGAACGAGTTGCTATTAAAAGGAAGTCCATCAAGGACATTATATTCTACAAACTCGACGTTACTAGGCTTTTCGTCTGCAAGGACCACAGGTGCAATGTCTACGCCGACAAAATAAGAGTTGGGGTATTCTTTGGCTAGGTCTAAAGTCCAAGCGGCTGAACCGCAACTGTAAAGGAAAGTAATAGTAATTGGATGGATTATAAGTATTTTATGTGTGTAGTCCCATCCCATTACATCCCATTAAACTCTTTATCCTCATTCGACTAACCAGACGTCAAGTACCCTTCCCCCACTCCTCAACAATTGGTCGACAGGTGCTGAAAAATTCCCGTCGAAGGCATGTTTTATCATAGCGTGTTGCATATCTAATCTATCTTCTTCTCCAGCATCGTTTGGCAAAACATAGTTTGAATCATCTAATGATTGAAATCGTCGTCCATCTATGACTTCGAATTTGTCTTTTGATGTTGGTTCGTCCATTTTTCGTCGTATTAAAGATTAGATGGGTGGGTGGAAAGTGGGAGTATTAAAAAAATATGATTTGGTAGCACAATAGTAAACAAAAATATGAGTTGGTAGCACAATAGTAAATAAATAGATATTCCATTGTTACCGAGACAACTCTAATCGGCTGAAAGAAAACCCAATCCAGTAGTCAAAATTTTCTCATCGTTACACGTTTATTTGATCGACAGTAGGCAGATTTTTACTTTCCCCAATGTGGATTGACCCAAAAACTTTTTTACATCGTGGTAAATCCCAATTTCTCAGAATGGTTAGTATGTTCCCATAATGCTAATAGATGAACATAAGAATTTGGTTCTTATATCTCCACACCACAGTTCAAACCCATTGTTTCTCCCACAGAGTTTCTGTAGAATCAATGCAGTCCCTGTGTTGCCGTTTCTGACGCTTAGTTTGTTCAGAATTGCCATCACCAAGTGATATCGCTAAGAACTCTCAAGCAGTCAATGAAAAATGTAATGTGAGTTTATTTCTGAATCATTTAAGGTTATTTATCGGCTGACTGTTCTACCAGGCTCAACTACTACGTCAAAGCGACAGAGATTGCACCAATTCTACAACGGATTCGAAACCGTGAAATAAGACATTTATCACAGAAAGCCTCGAATTCGCTTTCTCCACGTTTGGAATTACAAGACCCCTGAAATGATCGATAGTAAAACAAACATGTACGATGAAAATTTTTTGACCACTGTGGAAGGTTTTTTTCACAGCCGCACCATGACTAATGTAAACAATTGAAGAAACGTACAAATAGAGATATTCACACTATAATTGCCGATCTATTTGTGCTACTTGTACTACAAATAGTATTACGATATATTACAACATCTAAAACCTTGATTCTC